AAAAATAAAAGAACTGGCGGCCGAACAGCCGCCAGTCCACCTAGGGGTCGAAGAAGACCCTTAGGGTTTTTCCTTTGACATGCACGGGCCCAATTGGGTCCGTGACTTGTGGCAAGCTGCGGGCGGGCTAAGCCAGCAGCCATATAAAAGAAAAGTTATGACCTTTGGGCCATTAGGGTTGGGCCCGTGACTCAAAAAAAAAAAAACGGAAATAGTAGAAAATAGGTTTAAGGAAGTATATAGGCTAATTTTTAGTTATAGAAATTAATATGTCATAATTTCTCAAGTTATGGTTCATAACCATATAAGTTATAGATAAACATGTCAAGTTATAGTTCATAACCAGACAAGTTATGAACAAAAACTGCGATTTATGGACAATAACTTGTCAAGTTATAGTTCATAACCAGACAAGTTATGGACGAAAACAGTAATTTGACATATTTATTAACTTATGTAAACTATTAACCTATTAATTTTAATTCATCTCAAGTCTTAGCCTATTTCTCTCTTTCTCCAAAAAAAAAAAAAAGAAGAGGGAATCAGCAGGCTGGAATAAGGATTCGGGTTGGGTTGACCCGATCCAGTCCAGTCATGACCCAGTCAAATGTTGACCTTGACCGTTGACCTTAGCTTTGATTTTGACTGTTGACTTTGACTGAAATTTTTTTTCCTTGTGCAATTTAAATTCGAATATTGATATGTTTATATATATTTTAAGATGAATTTAAAAGAAGGATTTTCATGTCACTGTGATTCAGACATGACCCTTTTAAGAAGGACTGATAATATAATATTAGAAAAAATTCAAGACAACGTGATATGTAAAATTGAAAATTACAGACCAAATTGGAATTTGATGTATAATCTGGAAGCCAATTGTCGAAATAAAGTAACATGAAGCTAAAGCAGTAGTGTTTTTTAAGATTACCTTGATCAAAGATGCTATTGGTACATAATATATCTTCTATTTCCTTGTAATAGGGAGGCAAAATGGCAAACGTTTAAAGTGTGCTTATGAGAACATACCAATAAGAATGTTGGCAAATTATAATAAAAAATAAAAAAAAGAAAGTTGGCAGCTTGGAAGTGGAAATCAATGATAAGTAACTAACGGATGAATATTCACAAAAAAGACAAAGGGATACATAATAACAAAAGTTAGGAATAAACGTCCTCTTACACATGACATGCTTTGAAACTTGAATTGGTTTCCAATACTAAAAAGATTTAGCAGGTTTTGTCAGAATTGATCTTCCATCAATATTTGCCAATAAACAAAACATTTAAGAAAAAGAAAGTAAAAATAACTAGGTGGTCATCGACTTAATATGTACCACTTTGGATTGGATTGGTGTGTGCCATTCAGTGGCAAGACTGCTTTTGAGATTGCAAAATCAAATGGACTTAAGTTATTATTTCTGCTATTGACCTGGGCAAACCTTTTTGAAGAAAAACACAACTCCTATGGTTAAAATTTCTATGCTTAATAGACTCCATGTCGTAATCTCAACCACTTATTAGGAAAAAAAAAAATAATAACACATCAAAGTTAGCTTTAAAAAAACAGAAAATAAAACAGAGAAAAAACTAATCCTTTCATAAAAGAGTAGTACTATTCAACTGTAGTAGAGTCAGACATGACAAGATATTGAGGTGGACCTCATATAAGATAACTTTTATTTTTGTGACTTTTTTCTTCACATGATCATCCCATAAAGACAGTTGATATGTAGTTGATGTTAGAAATAGTGTCCTAAAAGTATGAGATGTAATAGAATATTTATTATTTATTTAATAAAAGAGTTTATTCATTATTTTATGTGCATATATTTATGAATATTTTATGAATATCAATAAAAATTTCATGATTATTTATGCGACCTTATACATTATATATAAGTGTTATATGCGAGAGGATAATGTTTAAGGATAATAATCAAAATGATGTTCGTAATGAATTTAATTAAAGTTCAGAATCTTTAATTAAAACATTATTAATACATATCATTCCCATTTAGAATGAAACAGAGTTATCTGCACTGTTAATATGACGAGATATTGAACGAGTGTATTACGCATAATGAGATTATGTGGAATAAGGACACAAACACAATATGAATTTATGATAATTTCCGTTAAGAATAGAAATTCTAATTGAGTCTACCGATAGTCATATATAGAATAATCTTAATCCTGAGTTCTAATTGATTCGGTACTTGGACCAGTAGGAGCTCCGATTTATGAATTTATTTTATAAATCACTGTCCATTAGAGAATCAATGGTACTTAAGGATAAAGATGTAATTAGAGAGGTTAACGGATTTTACCTAGCTCTAATTATAAATTATTTATGGAGGATTGATCTATATGCAGTGACTACAACACATGGACACTTCACGGTTTAGAAGTAATTTATATCTATAATTACGAAAGTGCAATTTCAAGTTTATAGTAGAGTAACTATTAGAATTAATAAGATTAATTAACTAATTACAGTGTTTAATTAATTATTAATTTTATTGGAGCTTGAAATTATAGGTCTATGAGTCCCCGCGTCGTCCTTGTAATTCTACAAGACACTAAGGACAAAATGGAAATTTTAGAATTATGGAATTCTAAAAATTAAACACTCAAGGATAATTAATTGAGATTTAATTATTATTTAAATTTAATTTTGAATTTTAGATCACTTATGTGAAGGTGTTCACATAGTGTGAACACAAGGCATAATGTGAACACATATAAAATAATCCATTTAAACTTATTTGATAAGTTGTTCAATTTAGAATTCAATTAATTTAAGTTTGACTTAAATTGAAATTTGAATTTGAGTTAAAATTGGACTGCAGGATAAAGGATGATTTTCTCTTCCTTCCCTATATGTATTTGGCGCCTACCACAGGGATAAAATCCCCTATCTTGGCCGGCCATATCAAGTGGATATGGATGAGAGATTTTGTTTCAAAATCAAATTTAAAGGGGGAGAAAATAAATAAGCTTTATCTTAGAAATAAAGACAAGACTCCTTCTAGGAGTCTAACTACTAATCTATAAATAAGGAGATAGTAGAAAATTGTCTGACATAATTTTTACTCTTATTTTTCTATAGTAGCCGAAATTCACAAGAGTTGTGAGAAAAAAAAATTTTCTCCAAAAATTTCACGCCGTGCATACGTTGGTGTGCATGAAAATTCTTGAGTGTTTTTGTTAACTCGTTTTGTTTCAAGTTCGCCCACACACTCGTCTTTGTGGATTCAAGGAATTGACGAGGAAGGCTCGGGTTTTCTAAACAAATCATTGGAGCGAGGATTGTTTGAGGTTAAAGAACTAAAGTTATCATCCTAATCGGTCGCTAGGTATAATTCCTAATCCAGTTCTTGATAAATAAATTAATGAGATTAATTTATTCGTGCATTAATATAATCTATAGAGTATCTCAAAGGTTTTATGAAAATTTTTGTTATACACGATCCGCTACTCTCACACTTCAGCATCTGAATTAGATTTAGAAACCAACAATTTGTATTAGAGCGATCTATAGACGATATTAATTTATGCTTCGATTATTTGATAATCAAAATTAATATATTAAATATGTGATATTTAATTATGTATGTATGTGATGGGTAAGCACTTGCATTTATGGATGTTTATATTTAATTCATGTTGATGAATGTATGGATGACATATTTGGTCGTTAATTATATGGTTCTATGGATCGCATTAAATCGTTCAATTAAATTATTTGTAATTTTTATTCCGGATTAGAATTATTG